TTCATCATTTTTAGTTTTTTTTTTTTTTTCTTTTTCCATCAAATATAATTTAAACTTCCCTCATCGAAAAAAAAAGAACTAGTGTCTTGATCATTTCATTTTTTTTTTTTTTTTTTTTTTTTTTTTTTTTTTTTTTTTCACAAGTTCATGCCAATACACAAACAAAATGAAAAAAAGATAATCTCCAGCCCTTTTTGAAATTCTTTCTTCCTCTTTTTATTTTTTTTTTCTGCTCATCATCATAATTTTTTTTCCTTCTCGTCATCATCATAATTTTTTTCTTTTATTCTTTCTTTCTTTTTTTTTTTTCTTCGTTTCGTCCACATAATCAATAAAAAAAAAAGACATATAAACAGCAAAGTAAAACAAAGTCATATACAAACTTTTCGTCTTCTTCTTTCTTCAAATATACAGTACAGACATAAAACATAAACACGTATAATCACCAAAAATTTTCATTTTTTCTTTCTTTCATGATCTTTAAGCTGTCCTAACCGTTTCTTTTTCATTCAAATTTGGATAATGATGTTCCTTGATTTTTTCCGGCTTCTTCCTCTTCCTCCTCTTGTCCCCTTTTTTTCATTGTTTGAATAACTGAATTATGATCATCATCAACTTTTTTAGATTTATTGGATTTATTAGTTCCACCACTACCACTTAAATTAGCTAGTGAACCTCTTAAACTATTAACTTCTAATCTCCTATCCAAAGATGAAAAAAAAAAATGTTTATAAACCATTCACTTAGTGAAAAACAAAGAGAGAGAGAGAGAAAGACAAGACTAACTGTCCAAGAGTTGCACGAGAATAACGTGAAGATCGTGGTCTGTTTAATAATCTTGAACGTTCATCTTCAGGTTCTGAATCACTTTCTTCTCCCGCTAATCTATCAAGTGGTGAAATACCAGATTTTGATAATTCACCAACTCTGAATCCATCCAAGAAAATAAATAAATAAAACAGGATGTTTGAATATGATAAGGAAGAGAAAAAAAAAAAAGACGAACCGATTGGTTGAGACAGGTAAAGAGACAGATCTACGAATAAGTGACAAGACGTGACTTATCGTACTTGATTCAGGATTAGTGGCTGAATCTGAGGAATTAGTACTTCTGTTATTCGTACTCGGGAATTCATGTTGACCTATACGAGAGAGAGGGAGAGATTAGACTTGGAGAGAAAAAGAGCACGAAAAATAAGCTTACCTTCATCTTGTTGCGCTTCAATAACAGTTCCTGTTGCTACCGTAGCAGATCCAGCACTGAAAGAAAGTTGCAAACTTCAAGATCCTATAATAACTACAAAAGAAAAATGTAACACTAACCCTACTTCTTCATGACCAGCTTCAATCAAGTGACCATCTTTAAATCTGGCGAGTTTAGGTCTAACATAAAACAAGTCCTCAGAAACATAAGATCCGTCTCCTAAGTATATAAGTGGGTCAGTAAGTCAAAAAAGTAAAAGCACTTGAGACAATGAATGAATAGAAAAAAGTATACTAACGATCTTCGAATACACCTAATTCAGATACACCACCCAAGTTACTAATCGAACTTCTACGAGGACCTGATTTATTAATATTACGATAAACAATTTCTTCATCTTCAGTTGTGGTTGAAACACTTTGATTTACAATTGGTGATCTAAAATCGGTTACTTCCACAAATTCTGCACCTGAAGTAGGTCTAGGTGGAAGAGGAAAACGTAAAGTAGGACTTGATTCGTTACCTTGACCAGTATCAGCTCCACGACTAGAAGAATGACCGGGAGTTAATAATGAAGATGGAGATGGAAATGGTAATGGTGGTGGAGCTTTAGTGGCTATGTCTGAACGTCTTTTGAGTACCAAGATACGACCAGGTGAATGTTGTATAGGAGTGGCCACTGATGAATTGTAAGATATAGAGTAAGGAGATGAACCTGGTGTACGATTTGGAAGTGTAGATTTTTTACGTCTGACCCTTTTTGAACCGGTGGAGAGTAATGGGCTGGTGTTTAGAGCAGGTTGAAGGGGTACGGGTGTCGAAGTAGAACGGAAGGGTGAGAGTGATAGGTGAGGTAAATGCTCGAGTGGTGAGTCTGCTCGATCATCTTCATCGTCCTCTGAAGTAGCTTCGAGTAAAGGTGGGTGATCGGGTAATCGTTTACGTCGTGAAGACCGACTTGACTTGATTGACTTCGAAGGGCGTGAAGATGATCTTGAACCCAAGTCTTGTTCAGCTCGTGCCCCGCGACACCCATAATCAGGTGGACTACAAGAGACCGGTAATCCCGATCCGGATTGCACATGTCGAGATACGAGGGAGGTTTTCCCGAATGCAAATGGTTTCTCACTCTCCACCAAGTCTGATTCCTCACCCGATAAAGTCCTAAAAGAACTAGGCGCTCTTAAAAAAGATGAAGCCGGAGTACGTACGGCGGCCCACCACCTCGAGACGCGTGTAAAGGTTTCAGTGCTCACCGAAGGATCATGATATGGGTTACGAAAGACTCTGCTAGGACCATATGCCTCAACATCGTGATCGGGCGCGTGTTTGGACCTGGCAGGGCTAGGATTGAGTGAAAAGTGTAGGATTAAGGATCGTAACTCATGTCGAAGACGCTTCCAGACTCCAAGACGGGCTTCTGTACTAGGTTGAGCTGGTTTAGTTGCCGATTTTTCTCCAACGTATTCTTTTGAACGCAAAGGCTCATTGAGATTCCATTGATGTTGATCGCGTAATAAGTCTAATTGCTGACGATGAGTCTGATTGCCGTGTCTGTGCTGAGGTAAGAGGTTAGAGTCAAAGTCGTATGGTCGAGGTGAATCAAGATGGATTGGACTACGTTGACGACGTTTACGTTGACGACGGATGAGGAAGAATAAGAGTGAGAGTACGACCAAGACGAATAAGATGAGAAGGGTGATGAAACCAGCGAGGATAGCGCTGAGTGAATTATGACTAGAGTCTTGATTGTTATTAGTGGTGATGAATGAGTTTGTGGTAGGTTGAGATGGTGAAGGCACGTAAACTGTTGAGATGAGAATAGGTGTATCTAAAGCTGGTTTAAGAGAGAGATGAGTGGGTAGGGCGACTTGAGTTGATTGAACCGGTTGAAGGTTTAAAACTGGTGTAGGAGTTGGGAATGTAGCTAAATCGGTGATGATGGTGCCATCGAGAACGGTAAATGGACCACTACCATCGTAAAAGTGAACGAGTTGAGTTGGAACTGGTAAAGGAGGTTGAGTGAGATGACCTTGACCATCGATCGCGGTATATGGCCAACTGAGGGGTATGGAAGGACCTGTGTAAGGTATAGGTAATTCAACGAGACCGGTGGTGATATGATCTGAATTCTGATAAGTCAATGTGACCGGCTTGAGCCAATCAGGTAAAGGTTGAGTTGCAGACATGATGATATAAAACAAGAAATCGAGACTAAAAAAGGAAAGAAGATAAACGAGAAAAAAAAGATGGATGGATGGATGGATGTGTGTGTGTGTGTGTGTGTGTGTGTGTCTAAATAACAAAGAAGGGTCAGAATGTTCGTTTGAAAGTGATGTTGACCTGAAATTAATGTGCACGAACGAAAGAATAACAACCAACCGAGAAATAAAATATAATAAAATAAAACACACTCAGAAAAATAATTTATTTATTTAACAATCGAGACAGTCTCTAACTTATTTACTTGGTCAGAGTGAAAGTGAAAGTGAGAGTCAGTCAAGATGATCACGTGATCGCGTGTTTATTCCCCAACATAATATGTAGGTAGGTACTAGGTAGTACTTGGTTAAAAATAAAGCTTTTGACTTATCTTACATATGTAGTGGTGATATGTATCATTGTACTAGCAAACGAGATCGGTCAACTTGTGGTCGATATTTGTATTATTGATCAGCCACCAACAACAACCCAACCACGAGGATCCGAGATTGTGTATAAGATACAGAATACATAAACTTAAGTATGACTGTACTATCTTAATTTGAACGGCTCCGGTCTGACCCAACTAACTCACAATCTTGGTTGGTTGGGGTACATACAACACACTCTAAAAATGAAAAAAACTTCATCTCACTCAAAATAACATTTGTCTGAATATCTCAACTCTTAAAAAATCGTAAACAACACACATTCGATCGAGGTGTACAACTTGAATTCGGTCAGAGAGATGTGATATTCTTTAGAAATTATAACTCGGATCCATCACTCCGATCAGGTGTCTCAAGGTATCCAAGTTGGACATTTCATATATCATAAATACAACGATGAGATTCAATAAAAAGAACATCTTACACACTCGGTTCAGAGTACATTCTTATCATTTGAGCATTTTATTTATACCCATCAATATACTCATCATTAGGTTTACATCCACCTCCTTCCCCCATACACGTTCGATCTCATTATCATCTGTTGAGAGGTTTTGGTGTGTATGTGTTTTGCACCGCTGGGATTAAAGGTGAGGTTTTTAACATAAAAAACCCCGAGTTAATCGTAAACAAACCCTGGTGTTTGTTCTTTCTCACCAAGGTCAGAGCAAGTTTTTAAGATGTAAGTGTTTATAAAAAAATCATATCCAAACTCACTTTAAAATCAAATCATTATATGTATAAGATGTCTCAAAAGAGCAGCAAACTGATATCTCCATCATCTTGATACATACTGTGTCTGGAATAGTGACAATTAAACAAGTCATATCAATTCCAAACAATACCTTCATAATTCTTATCAATAGATATACATCAAACAAATCACCAAAAAGGCCTAAGTAAGTACTAGGATCGAGACCCTACCCTAGTACTAGTTAGTACTTACATCTACAAGGTCAGACTTATTAACCTCCAACTCAATTTCGTGAATCACATACCTCAAATCGGTTAAAATGACCTCATCACCAAATCAACGTCGAATGACCACAAACCGTCACCAACTCATCTCCATCCCTTCATCGCCACCCTCTCTATCTCGCTCAGTCAATATCCTCAATCGAGTCGCAAACACAAACGATGACGTA